GGGGGTGGGGGTGGTCTTAGCTGCACGTACGTCATTCGCACTGGTGACCGCACTGGTCAGCAGTGTGGACGACCGCACGCTACACAGCGCTGCTTCTCTCGTCTCGACGACGCTTGGCGTGTTCAGTTCCCTCAGGCCACTAAGCTGCCCCGCTGGCTTGATCTCCTGAAGAAGGGGATTGATATCTATGCTCTAGACTTTGATGCTATTCTATCTGCCATGTATGTGATGTCTACTAGTGGAGAGGGTGCTGAGTACTTGTGTGTGTGCCGCCCGACCTGGGCATTAGGACTAGTGCGTCTGCCGCTCCAGGTACTCGCGTGTCGGCTACCCCAGGTGCTGGTGAGGCTGCTGCTCTAGGTGCTCGTGTGTCTCCCCCCCTTGGTACTGCGTCGACTGCCGCACTGCACACCTTCACACTGGATTTAGGTGCTTCTCGCTACTTCTTTCGTGACCGCACTGCCCTTGAGCCGCTTGCTCGGCCAGTTGCTGTCTCCCTTGCTGACCCCTCTGGGGGTCTGGTCATTGCGACCTCTTCCACTGTCCTTCCCTGCCCTGCGGTCCCGTCGGGCACACTGTCAGGTCTCCACCTCCCCTCGTTCTGTACGAACGTGGTGGCAGGATGTGCACTCTAGGACGGGGGTGTTCACCAGTTCACCCCTGCCTACGAGCGCGTGACACACTGCACGTGTGCTCGTACGGGCCGTGATTCCAACACGCGTGAGTGGCACGACACACTGAGGACTACACTAGCGGCTATTGGGTTTGCTCCCTCTACTGCCGACCCGTCGTTCTTTCTGCGCACCGACACTTCTTTGCCGCCGTTCTACATCCTCGTGTACGTCGACGACTTGGTCTTTGCCACTGCTGACACTGCTGGACTCGCCCACGTGAAGTCCGAGCTGCAGAAAAGACACACGTGCACAGACCTGGGTGAACTGCGCAGCTACCTTGGCTTGCAGATCACTCGGGACAGAGCACGCCGCATCAGTACCCTGACTCAGTCACACATGGTGCAGCAGGTCCTTCAGCGCTTCGGCTTCACGTACTCCTCGCCCTAGGCCACTCCTCTGCCTACTCGCCACTCGCTCTCAGCTCTGCCTTCGGATGAGTTCGTAGAGTCGAGTGGCCCGTACCCAGAGCTTGTTGGCTGCCTCATGTACCTGATGATCTGCACTCGACCTGACCTTGCATACCCTCTTAGCATTCTCGCACGCTATGTTGCTCCTAGGAGACACCGAGCAGAGCACATGGCTGCAGCGAAGAGGGTGTTGCGCTACTTATGCAGTACGTCGGGCATGGGGCTAGTGCTTGGAGGGCGCAGTCCAGTGGTCCTCACTGGGCACGTAGACGCTTCTTGGGCTGACGACCAGGCTACGCAGCGGTCGTCACAGGGTTACACCTTAAGCCTTGGTTCCGGCTCTGTCTCGTGGCGGGCTACCCGATCGTCTTCTGTTCTCGGCTCCAGTTGTGAGGCTGAGATCTACGCTGGGGCCATGGCTGCACAGGAGCTTCGCTGGCTCACCTACCTACTGACTGACCTCGGAGAGCCGCCTCGTTCTCCTCCAGTACTGTTCGTAGACAACAAGGCCATGCTGGCCTTGTGTCGAGAGCAGCGACTGGAGCACAGAACAAAGCACATTGCTCTCCGCTACTTCCTTGCTCGTGAGCTATAGCAGCGTGGACAGTTGCGGCTTGCGTACGTGGCCTCTGAGGCCAACAGTGCTGATGTTTTCACCAAGGCACTTCCGCCTTGTGATCATCAGCGCTTCTGCACTCAGATGGGTCTTGTCCCTGTCTTGCCTCACTTGCTCACCTCTTGACTTTGCTTGTACTGTTACATATATATACCTGCTCTTGCTTGTCTAGCCTTATGTATATATGTACTCCTGCATGTGAACTGGCCTTGTGGCCTTGTACTTGTGCTCGGAATGTGTGGTGACTTTGTGATCCACCCTGAGCTTTGCTCTGTTTTGCTTTGCTTGACTGGTCTTGTGACCCCCTGTTCTCCCCCACTTTGCCTATGGGGGTGTGTCAGAACACTATAGCTTATGCTTTTGTGTAGGCTGTAGTGGGGTATCCCATAGGGGGTACAACCCAATTAGGGTTAGTACTTGTACCCACTTCATTCATAGTTCACTCATTCTCGTTTCAGTTTTTCTCACGGCAGCCCCTGGAGCAGCTGCCCCAGCAGCAGCAACCCCTGGAGCAGCCGCCCCAGCAGCCTTCGCCCCTGGCCCCTGCAGCAGCCGCTCCTGGACCCGGTGCAGCCGTGGGGGGGGGTGGGTGTGGGGGTGATGGTTGTGGGGGTGTCGGTTGTGCGTGCCGTCCCCTCCTCCTCCTTCGTCTCCCACTGCTGCAGCTATCGCTGAGGGGGGTGGATGTGTGGGAGTCCGGGGTTTAGGGTTTAAGGGGGTGCTGTGGGTGTAGGGCTAGGGTTTGAGCAGGGGGTGTGTGAGAGGGGCGTTGGGCAGCTGGGGGAGGCTGAGTGGAGGCAGCAGTCTTTTCGTCAGCAGCAGCAGCAGTCCGGAGGCTACAATCTCCGGTAGTCGCCAGTCGCCCGTGTGTCCGTTGCTCGTTTGCCGCTACTTTTAGCCGCGGGGCCAGTTACTCCAGTAGTCCTGAGCACTGTTCCGGTAGCCACTGAGCCAGCAGCTCGTCTGTGTGTCTGCAGCGTCAGCAGTCGCCTCCCATCTTCTCTCCTCCACAGTCTCTCCTCCTCCTCACTTGCCCTGTGTGATTAGCTCTAGCCTTACTTACCTATTGTGAACTCTTGCTCTATGCTTGCTCATTGTGCTGATTACACCCCACTTTGGCTATGGGGGTGTGTCAGAATGTATTTGCTGTCTAGCCTGTAGTGGGGTACTCTGTAATGAGTACAACCCAATTTAGGGTGTTGTACTTGTATCCCAACTCTTGCTAGTGAATCACATTCTCTCCTTTCAACTTTCTCGACATTCATCTTCAACCCTAAACCTAAGCTACTAAGACACTCACTAGCAATGGCTCCTAAGCCTAAGTCACGCTAGTATCTCAACAGTAGGTTTGTAAGCTAAGTCCAGTCGCTTATAGCAAAGCGTTTTAAACTGCAGCAGTGTGGGGAGTGGAGGGGGGATGGTGCGGGGCATGCAGCAAGGGTGGACGCTCAGATATTGAAGATGCGGAAGGAAGGAGGGCAGTTGAGAATGCTTCCTTGCCAGGTGAAGGGAACTCATGGCAGGTGAAGTGGATCCAAGGCAGGTGAGGTGATTGCATGGCAGGTGAGGTGATTGCATGACCATGATTGCCATTTGTGATTGCTATTTGTAATTGCCATTTGTGATTGCCATTCGTGATGCCATACTGGGCCTGCATTGATGCGGTGTGTCCCTGTGCCGTGGCATGGCAGGTGATGGCATGTCCATACAAGAACATCAACGATTATCTGGAGTGCCATGCGTCTCTTGGACCCCAGCTGCAGCACGTCATGGCAAGTGAATAGAATGTAGCATGTCGGGGCAAGTGAATAGAATGTAGCATGTTGGGGCAAGTGAATAGAATGTAGCATGTCGGGGCAAGTGAATAGAATGTAGCATGGCGGGGCAAGTGAATAGAATGTAGCATGTCACGGCAAGTGAATAGAATGTAGCACGTCACGGCAAGTGAATAGAATGTAGCATGGCAGGGCAAGTGAATAGAATGTAGCATGTCGGGGCAAGTGATAATTATTCAGCAACTCAGCGAACTCAACGCAATGCATGTGGTCAAGGCATGTCATTCTGCTGTTTGTTGTACTCTAATGTGCTGAGCTCGCCGTTACCCCCTTTGGCTGCCCATTTCAACTTCCAATCATGTGCACATTCTGCTTGCTTCTTGCCACCCCTGCTCCACTCCATCTGCTCACACCATCATCACTGTGACGGCACATCAGCAGCTGGTGCTGAGTGAGCCCGAGGCACTGCGCAGGCGCACCATGGACTACATCATCTCATTCCTGCCACCCCAGCGGCAAACCATCATTCTCACCTCTGGCTCCAAGCCAAAGGTAACGACAGCAATGTGGCTAATGCTTTCTGAACCTTTATGGTGCTTTTCGTTTTCCAATCTTGCTATGTGTGCTTCATGCCTTTCTGTCATTCTGTCGTTCTTGCTGCTGCGGTGGGGTGTGGATGAATATGCAGGTTAGACTAACGGCCAATCGCTATCTTGCAAAGGAGTATGCACACGTTGATCTCTGACCTCTGATGCTCTCGTGCACACAGCATTTCCTCGGTGCTAAGCAGGGCTTTTTTTTTTTTTTTTTTTTCACTACTCGGATTTCCAGAGCTGTTTTCTAGGGAACTCTGAAATTCAGGGTTTATTATGAGCGTACTCTGATTCGTCAGAGAAAACTTAACTTCTGAAAAATATACTCTGAGCTATCAGAGGTCCTATGTTTCTAACTCTGAATGTCATACTGTGATGACGGTTATAATATAATACAAAGTCTGCCTTACCATCTTCCACCAATTGGAGGGGGGCCTCGGTCGAAATGCCTATACCCTGTACAGAGAAAAATACATTCGCCACAAATATACACTGGTCTCTCAGAGTAGCTAAAATCAGAACCCTGACAAATCAGAGAAAACTTATCTTCCAAAAAAATTACCCAGACACGTCAGAGTGACCCCCTAAAAACCACTCTGATTTTCAGAGAAACAGTAATTTACTCTGATAAAAAAACCCCTGGTGCTAAGGCTAATGCAACAACTTTCAAAGCAAGGAGACTTGAGGTCAATGCGAAGCCGCATTATCCTTCTTAACCAGACCTTTGCCAGATTGGACAGATTCACGGAGCTCAGCGTTTGTTGTTGAAAGAGACGTGATAAGGCAGGTGAGATTGTAATCTACTGTTCCAGGTTGCGATATTTCGGGGAGGGTAATAGAGTCGTAGTACGTTTCCGAATAGTAAAATACAGTATATATAGGATCCCCTGGGGTTATAACACAGTATTTGTTTGTTAATTTCCAAGCCGGGGTCACTAACTGCCAGCGGCCGTGGCATGCCCTCCCATGCTGTTACCATTCTCCACAATACACTCCGTCAACAAAACCTCCAACTCATACACCTCCTGCACTATCTGCACTGCTTGGGCCATGAGGTTAGCAGGCAGCTTGTCCGCCTTGGGGTTGGCCCCCGGCCTTTCCACCTCTTCAGGCTTTATTCCCTGCTGCGCCAGCCTCCTCACCGCATCCCACTGCTGCTCTTTCGCTGCATGGTGTAACAGAGTCCCTGAAGGCGAGGAAGCAGGGAGGAGAGTGGAGGGAGACAGTAGGCGAGGAAGCAGGGAGGAGAGTGGAGGTAGACAGTAGGCGAGGAAGCAGGGAGGAGAGTGGAGAGAGACAGTAGGCGAGGAAGTAGGGAGGAGAGTGGAGAGAGACAGTAGGCGAGGAAGCAGGGAGGAGAGTGGAGAGAGACAGTAGGCGAGGAAGCAGGGAGGAGAGTGGAGGGAGACAGTAGGCGAGGAAGCAGGGAGGAGAGTGGAGAGAGACAGTAGGCGAGGAAGCAGGGAGGAGAGTGGAGGGAGACAGTAGGCGAGGAAGCAGGGAAGAGAGTGGAGGGAGGCGGTGGGGACAACAATAAAGGGAAGTGCGGGATTATTAGATGCGATGCATGCTCAAGCAGAAACAACAGTCAGAAACGAAAGAGGTGTAAACACCAGTTAATCTGTCACTCACAGCACTTTCTGGTGCGAGCACGGATGTCGGCACCATGACTTCGCAGCAACTGCATGCTCTCCACATGTCCCCCCAATGCTGCCAGGTGCATTGGCGTCGTGAGGGTATCTTTGCCCAGCTCTCCAATCGACATGCCCACCCCCACTAGCGCCTCCAGCTGCACAGGAATACAAGAGGGAGTGGTGGAGACGGAATGTGACAATGGGAAGCATGCTCGCCGCACGCCCATATGCACGGGTACCTTAAAGCTGAAGCAATGGGGCAAATGGGAGGGAAAGTGACGTCTGTTCAATGATGAGCACACTCGGCTCCCTCCTCCCCTGCATGCCCAACCAGCAGTGTCGCCTACGGATGGAGGCACATGGTTTGGGTGGGATGCAGGCGAACCAAAGTTGAGGGGCGGTGGGCGCGTCACACTGTGATGGATGCAGAAGCAGAAAGAGTACGGGAAATGTGCAAGAGGTGTGACGAAGGAAGGGCATGCGATGAGGTGGGAGAGAGAGAGAGTGTACACAGCCCATCACGAGTGCAGAGGGACAGGGGACAGAAAGGACAGAGTGAAACAGAGCGATGGAAAGAAGAGGCTTAGAGGATTAGAGCGAAGTAGAGGGAGAGTTGTGAGGGAGGGGATGGAGGGATGGAGGGGAACAGGGGAACCGAGAAGCCACAGGTGAGAAGCTGAGGAAGAGGGAAAAGAAGAGAGGACGTTTTAGAGAATGTGAGATCTCACCACAGGTGTATTCCCTTGGCGCGCAGCGGAATGGATAAGCGTCCATCCATTCCCGTCGAATATGTGATGCAGCTGACTCATGCAGCCAACACCCAACTCCTGCAACAGGGTATTCAGATCCGCCTCCGGCAGACGTCGCCTGCCTTCGTTCGCCGATCCATGCGCATTCTCATTCGACTGACCCTCCCGAGTCGTCTCCGCCCCCACCACCCCCTCTCCTCGCACTCTTTCTGACACGAAAAGCACAACTTCCAAGAACAGATTCACTGCGTAAAGGTGGCATGGGCACTGGCAGGGAACTGAGGAGGGTGAGTCTGTGCAAAATGGAGGGAAATCGGAGGGCCAGGTAGGGCTCCAGGAGTGGGCGTGAGAGGGGCGGCGCGCAGAAGAGGGGGGTGTGTAAGTAGAGGAGGGGGGAGCAGAAGCCTGGGGTGGAGGTGTAGGTAGAGCAGAAGACGAAGGTGCAGGGAAGGCGAGTGGTGTGGAAAAGGGGGCAGTGCCGTGGGGGGACGCGGAGGAGGGTGGCGAGGAGCCGGAAGCGGTGTTATCATAGAAGGCATGAATATGTGTGGCAGTGGCAGGCGAGGTGAGTGCATGAGTGATGTCACGGCCAGCAGATGGACCAGATGCAACGACAGCAGGACCGGCGGGAGGGGTTGCAGCGGGAGCGGGAGCGGGATGATCGGAGGCAGTGGCAAGGGCAGCAGGGGGGCGGCGGGATGGCGACAGCTTCTCATAGCCGATGTGGATGAGAACAAGCGGTTGCAAGTGGCAATCGCGTGGCTGTGAGGCCGTGTCTCCTGGTGACGAGCGGGGGGATGACGACGACGGCCCTGGCTGCGCCGCCCCGCTCTGTGCCGCTGAAGGTGAGGGCGGCTGTGGCTCCGACACGATGGCGGCTGGTGACGTGCGCCACGAGCGGTGGCAGAGTGGGAGGGGCTCGGCGAGGTAGTACTTCCACGCGCTCAGAGAGGGTGGCTGGCAGGCCGGGTGACGGATGGCAGAAATGGAAAATAAGGTGGCTGGTTTACAAGGGATCTGGCAGAGGAAATTGACAGAAGCAGCAGCGTCAGGAGACACCCTGAGCAGGAGGCAAGCATGGATGCACATGCACAATACCCGCATGCCCCAACCCCCCATGTGACACCTGCTCACTACTTACAGCTCCCTACACACACACGCGCGCACCTCATGTGTCGGGCGGGACCTCTGTGTTGGGCAGATCAGCGTTGGGGAGGAAACAGGAGGAAGGATGGAGAGGTCAACAATTTCTTCAATCCATCGGTGGGATTTGGAAAAAAGGGGGCCATGGAGAAGTGCGGAAGCGGCGCAAGATGAGGGACGAGACGAGAGAAGAATGCGAGGTGCGAAGCCAGTGGCGAACCTTGCGTGGCGAGTGCCCGGGCTGCTTGAGTCCAGCATGGCACGTGCCCAGCGATGTGCGCAGGCGACCGTCCCGGTCCCATCTGTTGGCAGGCAGCAGTGCCTTGAAGGCGGGCGGCACAGCGACTTTGACGGGCCTTGGTGGGTAGCTTGTGCGCCCGCTGAAGCTGTTCCAGGGCGTGTTGGGGCCTCGCGTGCTGCTGCTGTCGTCTAACAGAAAGAAGGTGCCTGCTGCCATAGAGGGGTGCGCATGGGGGGTGGGCATGGTGGAGAGAGGGCATAAGGGGGTGAGCATAGCGGGGCGGACCAGAGAGTAAAGTTGAGTGCCATGGCTGCCGAGCAGCACAGCTCCGCTGAGCTCACGTTGGCAGAGAGCAGCCGAAACGATAACCACTCACCGTCGCACTCATTGCTTTCTTCCTCCCTCCCGTGTGCGTGCTGCACGCCCGTGCGCCTGCGCGCCCGCTCCGCAGCGAGCAGCTTCTTGACGGGCGGCATCTTGCAGAAGATGTCGAAGCCCAACTTCTCTTTGGGCTTGACGACGCGATGGCGTCGAGCTGCTGCTGCTCTGTCGTCGCCTCGCGAACGACGCGCGAGAGCCAATTAGAGAGATTCTCGACGCCGTCATCGTCGAATGCTGCCGCTGCTGCTTCTACTGCTGCTGCAGCCTCGTGTTGAGGCGTCTCAGAATCACGATAAACTGCTGCGTCGTCAAGGCTGAGATTCGCGATTTCTGCATCCATCGCAGCCCATTCACGGCCGTCTCTCTGCTGCAAGTCCTTCGGCCCAGAACTAGAATCGAAACGTGCAGGAAAAGCACTAGTCTGCGTCGTCGCTACTCACTGAATGTGGAAAGCAAAGATGATATCAGGTCGTCCAAACCGCTCGAAGGGAACAGCAAAAGTGGTTCCAGGCCTCCAGGCGACCATCAGGTCGCACGAATGGCGCTCGGCATTCCCCGCTGCGCTACGGCACCGCACACAGGGATGTTCAGCCTTGGCCAATCTGAGCTCAGGCTGAGCGGCGTCGCGGGCTGCAAACACTACGCAACGCAACGCCATGCTCGCCGCCAAGACTGCGAACCTGCGAGACTGCGCACCGGACATTGGGATGCTGCGCACGATGGCTCGATGCGATTCGATGTGGCTGACACCGCTCCATCATGTGCGTCGCATTCGAGGGTTCCCCACGAGATGCATCTGATGTTCGGCATGGGTGGTTACGATGCGACATGCGCTGACGCCTCTCCACGTGCACCGAGTTCAAAGGTTCCGATGGTCGCATCGCATAGTGTGGACGGCCGCGATGGAGGCTTGCCTGCATTCCATTCCACTGCGCCATGACACTGGTTGGTGTGGGGTGGGGTAGGGGGGAACCACAGACGAGGTGAAGGGCTCAGCATGCCTCGAGAGGTGAACGTTGTGGATGGTGAAACATCGGTAAAAGAAAACCGATAAGCGGAATTGCTACCCACACCGTGAATGTGGTACACAAGAGCAACTTTTGAAACTCGAATTCCAAAACCTGAGGAACACACTTGCGGCACAACCCTGAACCCCTCGTACACGCCTGGTCAAGTCCCCGACTCCCCAGTGCACATGCAAATCAGTACAGCGAACACCGTGGTGGCTTTGCACCGTCGAGAGGGATCTCAGGCGAAGAGGGCTCGAAATTTAGCGAATCCGTTCTTGATTAGAGTCGCTATCAGCGGCGCGCACCCATGGGTAGCATGGAATGTAACGCCTCTCGCGCTCGGGCTCGTTCGTGCGGTGCGCGCTTGCCGCTGAGATGCGCGGATCTGAAAGTATACGGCAGATCGCGACACGTTGCGCTTACGCGTCCACGTTAGCAGTGCGGCATTGGATCGTACCTGAGAACACGCACAGCCACCGTGACCTGCTTGTCGGAATCAGCAGCACGGCGCCTTTGCGCGCGTACAGGCTGCTCCGTTACAGTAGCTCTTCGATAGGAGCATTTCCAGGTCGTGCTAGCCCCGCTATTCCGTGGAAGCGCGATCCATGGTGGCGAGCGAGGCAGCCACGGGAGGGATTGAGGATTGCGTTGGCAGCCGCTGCAGACATTAAAGCAGCAGAGATTAAAGCAAAAGATATCAAAGCATTATCAGCAGCATCAACATCGGCTTCATCATTACCTTCAGGGCTGCCGTCACCAGCACTTGGGACATCAGCAATTCATGTTGGGGGAATGAGAAGGCAGGGTATCTGGGACGACATGGGAGGCAGAGGCGGCAGGGTGGAGCAGCTGTGGTGCGCGAGAGGAATGGATTCGCGGGTGTGGCTTGTGCATGAAGCGGGGTTGATAGTACCGAGTACGAGGTGGAGGGTGGGGACGTGGAGGGCGATGTGCCACGTGGCGAAGAAGCGAGGTTTTGTTGATGGAGACGAGGGAAAGGGGAAAAACGGAAAGGGGGGGAAGGGGAAAAAAAGAGAGAAGGGGAAGGGGAAAAGTGGAAATGAGGGAAAGGTGATAAGAGGAGGCGAGGGAAAGGGGAGAAGAGGAGATGGGGAGAAGAGGAACGAAGCAGATGAAAGGAAGGGGGGTGAGGGGCAGGGCCAGGCAGGTGGTGCGGGCGATGGGAGAAAAGCGAGTGAAGGATTAGTGGGTGCGGAAGTCGAGGGCGCCGATGAGACGAGGCTGCGCAGCCGGCGGAGGAGGAGGGGGAGGCCGCGGAAAGTGGGGCCTGGGCTAGATGCTGCCATCCCGTCTGCCGGTGCTGGCAGGGAAGCGATTGGGCGTGCTGGTGGCAGCGACGGCAGTGCTGTGTGGAGCGATGGCGGTGTGAGGGAGCAGCAGCAGGATGAGATGGGTGGTGCTTCCGAGTTGGAGGAGGTCCACCATGGCCTCAGCAGCACTGCACGCTCTCATGATGGTATCGCTGCCCTTAACACCTTCTCCTCCACCCTCACACCCAACCCCACTGCCAACCCCACCCCCATCGCCATTCCCGCCTCCTCGCAGCCCCCATCTCTACATGTGCAGTTCCAAGACCTCTACTCCTCCCACCTCGCGCACATCGCGCCGCCCTTCGCCTCGCACCGGGCCACGAGGGACAACGCCATGGCGCTGCTCGCCCTGCATCCCTCACCCCACACCGTTGCTGCCATCTTCCGCGCCTGCTCCTCGCTCTTCCTCGTGCCCCTCACCCACCGCATTCGGGCAGCTCTTGAGATCTTTTCTGCCCACAGGCTGCCCGAGTCGCTGTTTCTGAGTGTTATCCGGCGGGTGCCCGAGCTGATTCTGGATGCCCGGCTGGATGACGTCAGCAGCAACGGCAGCAACAGCAGAACCTATAGCAGCAGCAGCAGCAGCAGCATTAGCAGAACGAGCAGCAGTAGCAGCAATGACAGCAGCAACAAGAGCAGTGACAGCCATGAGATCGACTCCATTCCAGAGCAACAACACAGTCCGACTCACCGGCAGCAACCGCTGCTTGACCCAGAGCAGCAGCAGCAGCAACACACACTTGTACCTCTCTCTCACACCCACAGCCCTCCTACCAGCCCCGCTCACTCTCACTTCCCCTCCACCAATCTCCCCCATCTACAGCAGGTGTTGCACTTCCTCTTCCTGCACCTCCCTCCCCCCACCGTCGCCAAGCTGCTGCACTCTGCTGCCTGCCGTGTCTTCCGCACGCCCCTGCCCTCGCTCCTCCTGCACCTCTCTGCAATGCACTCTATTATCGCCCCCCCTCACTCGCTTCTCTTCCGCTACCCCCTCGCCCTCCGCTTCTCCCCTGAAATACTTAAACAGAGACTTTCCCGATTGGCTGAAATTGTGCCGCTGACAGAAGCGCAGGAGGGGGTGGGAGGTGAAAAGGGAAGTGGAGGAGAAGGAGAGGGGAACGCAAAATGGAGCGTACGGGGAAGGGTGAGGTTTGACTCTGCCTCGCTTCTTCCAGTCCCTCCTCTCGATCCTTCCCTTTCGTTTGCAGCGGATCCAGCGGTGCTCTCCCTCGTGCGCAAGCAACCGCACATCCTCCACGCCAGAAGGGAAACCATGCAGGAGGTGGTAACCACACTCACCACTCTCTTTGGCCCACAAGGCACCTCCTACGTGCTCTCCCGTCACCCAGCCCTGCTCACTGTGTCCCCTCGCACAATAGAAGATGCCATGTTCGGACTTATCGACATTTTTGGAGAGGAAGTTACCTTAGATATGATACAGCGCGAGCCGGGGATAATCCAGGTCCGGCACAGTACACTCCGGCCGAAGATCGATTTCGTGCTTGGGGAGATGATGCGCAGCAAGGAGGACATGAGGGTGTGGCCGAACGTGCTGCTGCGCAGCCTGCCGCGCATGCTGGTGCCGCGGTATTTCCTGGTGACGAGGAAGGACCGCCATGCCGCCAGGGTGCTGTCTCTGCCGTGCCTCTTCAGCAACTCTGACGCGCGGTTTAGGCGGAGATGGGAGGTCAGTGATGCGGACTGGAGCAAGGCACTTATGGTGGGAGAAGTGTGGGAAGCCAGGAGGAAGGAGGGTGTGTTGGGTGGTGCAAATCAGTGATCGAGGGTTACACGGTTCAAGCTTGGGACTTGTATCCGGGGAAAAGTGGTACCGTCATCGCCCGGATATAAGACATGTATGTCTTATCTCATACATTAAAAAAATCAGTCTTATAAATGGACAAAAATCCGTTTAGAAGATACTTCCTCGTGATACATTTGCCATTTGCCCCTACACACAAATAGGTGTCTTATAATGAGGCTACCCTGTTTATAAGAGGCACCCGTATAATAGACAACCCCTGTCTACTATTCAACACTGTCTTATATCTGGGTGATGACGACACATAAAGCATTTTTTTACCTAGAATTCATAATGTATAACGGGCAAAGTGTAGTGCAGTTTTCACCGTTTTCCAATCAGGGTTCTACCAATCCAATGGCCATGTAGCCAAGATACACCACACCCTGATCGTCCAGGGTCGCCATAAGCCAAGCTAGAGCCCTGCTCTGCTACCCGGCGGTCTTCAACTGCAAAGAACGTTCCTTTCTCTGGGGGATTACAGTACTCCGTACCCTCTTCACTACCGTATTTGCACCGCCCTTGCCAGGAGGTCATCAGGCAGCACCCCCGACGAGGGGTTGGTCTCCACCTCCTGGGGGTCTATTCCCTGCTGTGCCAGCAGGCCCTCAGATATCAGCGTAAAACACGCTGATTACGCTGATTTTGTAGCTCAAATTTTCGTTTGCCCTGAAAATTCAGCATATGCTTCAAATTTGCACTGAAATTTCAGTATAACATACCTTGCCACACTGACCATTTTCCGTGTTGCTGTACAAGTAACACTGACGAATCAGTGTAGTGTCGTGAGTCACACTGAAACGGACTAGACCGATTCGGGGTGGTACGCGTGTGTACAGTCTATACCTGGCCCGGGATTCACGAGACCCCACTAGGCTGTACCTGGCCCGGGATTCGCGAGACCTCACTCACACACTTAACGATGCATGCGCTGTACAGATCGTGTGCCGACGTGTTCTGCATCGCTGGAAGGAGCTCTCACAACGACAAATTTTGAACGGGAAATTCAGCTTTGTGTTTTTTTTGTACACTGATGGTTCAGTTTACTTATAACTTATACACTGGCAAAATCAAAATAAAGAAAACCATGAACGCTGATTTGGACACCTGGGCGACCGGGGCACGCTGATCCATCAGCATACCCTCAAACCAATCTGAGGGCGTGTGTGCCAGCCACTCCACTGCCTCCCACTTGCCCTGCCTCGCTGCGTCGTGCAGTGGGGTCCCTGTGGGAGTGGCACACGGGGGGAGCTGTTAAGACTAAATCAAGGGAATGGGTGAGATAAGGTCAAGGTTGGGGTACAAGACTAGAGCGTCGAGAAAGTTTCTGTACCCCCTAGTGCTAACCCCCATACAGCCTAGATAACCTGAATATATGTATATATATATATATATATATAATTTGACACACCCCCATAGGCGAAATGGGGGATAGCCAGAGCAAGCAACGGTCACAAGACCAGTCAAAAGAAGAAACAAAACACAGCTGAGGGTGGATCACAACGTCACCACGCAGTCTGAGCACAAGCAAAAAGGCCACAAGGCCAGTTCACATGCAGAGATATATAGATCACAGTACAAACAAAGCCTACAGCAAGTGAGGAAACGTGGGCATAAGGCCTAACAAAGTACAGAAACGCTGATGATCACCAGGCGGAAGTGCCTTGGTCAATATATCAGCAGTGTTGGCCCGAGTGGCCACGTAAGCAAGACGAAGCTGACCACGCAGCTGTAGCTCTCGAGCAAGGAAGTAACGCAAAACGATGTCCTTCAATCTCTGCTCCAGTCTGTGCTCCTGACACAAGGCAATGGCGGCCTTGTTGTCGACGTACAGCACTGGAGGAGAACGAGGCCTCTCTCCCAAGTCGGTCAACAGGTAGGTGAGCCAGCGTAACTCCTGTGCAGCCATGGCTGTGGCGTAGATCTCAGCCTCACAACTGGAGCTGAGAACAGAAGACGAGCGTGTAGAACGCCAAGAAACCGAACCAGAGCCAAGGCTGAAGGTGTAACCCTGTGACGACCGCTGCGTAGCCAGGTCATCAACCGAAGAAGCGTCTGAGTGCCCAGTGAGGACAACGTTGCTCCGTCCTCCAAGCACGAGCCCCATGCCCGATGTACTGCACAAGTAGCGTAGTACCCTCTTAGCAACATCCATGTGCACCTTTCGGTGCCGACCAGGAGCCACGTAGCGAGCCAGAATGCCAAGAGGGTACGCAAGGTCAGGACGAGTGTAGGTCATCAGGTACATGAGGTAGCCCACTAGCTCTGGGTAAGGACCACTCGCCTCTACGGACTCGTCCGAAGGTGGAGCTGAGAGCAAGTGACCTATAGCCAGAGGAGTGGGCTGTGCCAAGGACCAGGTGAAGCCGAAGCGCTGAAGGACCTGCTGCACCATGTGTGACTGAGTCAGTGTGATGGTGCGGCGTGCTCTGTCCCGGGTGATCCGCAAGCCAAGATAGCTTGTCAGCTTACCCAGGTCTGTGCACGTGTGTCTCTTCTGCAGCTCCGACTTCACCAGGGCGAGAGCCTCAGTGTCAGCAGTGGCAAAGACCAAGTCGTCGACGTACACGAGGATGTAGAACGGCGGTAGTGAAGTGTCAGTGCGTAGAAACACAGCGACGGGTCTGCAGTCGACGGAGAAAATCCAAGAGCCGCAAGTGTCGTCCTCAGTGTGTCGTGCCACTCACGCGGCGCCTGGCGGAGACTGTAGACCGGCCGCCGGAGGCTCCACTGGGTACCAGGAGGAAACGACCCAGTGAAGCCAGGTGGGCTGCGCAGCCAGATCTCCTCGTGCAGGCTTCCCTGTAGGAAAGCTGTGCTGAAGTCAAGAGAGTGAAGCTCGTATTCACGCTGGGCGGCAACGTGCAGCAGCACCCAAAGAGTGGTCATCTTTGGGGTGGGGGAGAAGGTCAGGAAGAAGTCAATCCCCTCTCGCTAACTGAAACCTCGAGCAACGTAACGAGCCTTGAAGACAGGCGGAGAACCTAGCGGCTACTTCACCCTGAAAATCCACATGCCACTGACGATGCTCGCCTCAGGAAGGGGAACCTCGTCGACGTAGGTGCGCGTGGACTTCCAGGATGTCATCTCTGCATCCATGGCTGTCTGCCACTAAGAGGAGTACTCACCCGCGATCGCCTCTGCGTAAGAGCGCGGGGTCGGGATGTCTAGTGCATCCGGGTCTCCTGTAGGGGCAAGCAGCATGGACACAAGATGAGGCGCAGCGGCTGCAAAACACTCAAGGTCCTCGTGCGTGTCTTCAAAGACGTCCGTGCCAAGAGCACACTCACCCTCGACGGACGGAGGACAGACAGACTCAGACTCAGCAACAAGACTAGCAGCGTAGTCTACACGACAGGCTGCAGCAAAGTCAACAAGCTCAGCGACTAAGGCAGACGCAGCAGAAGACTCAAACGACAGATCACTGACAACAGTGGCTAGCAGACGCATGACAATAGGGTGCTCAGCACGAAACTGGTCAGACTCAGGGTCTGGAACAACTGGCAGAGAAGAGGCAGGAGGAGTCGGCAGAGGAACACCCTGCGGAGGAGAGGAAGGACGACGGACTACAAGGGAAGGGCCGGGGACAGCCGGCTGACGCTGACGAGCAACACGAGCACATGAACGACTAGAACGGACAGGTGAGACAGGACGCGACGCAGGCTCACGACGCACAGCAAGGCCCCCTGTCTGCTCAGCGTAAGGAGGAGCAGGGAGAGGTGAGCCCGGCTGTAACGGAAGACCAGTAGACGACGGGAGGCTAAGAACCTTGCGAAGTACGGAGTTAGGCGGTGGCAGAGACGACGGAGACGGGGGAGCAAAGAACAGGCGCGGCTGTGCAATGCCACCAGTACCAGCAGCTCTAGCACCCTCAGCAGCTCCAGTATCTCCATCAGCTCCAGCACCCTCAGCAACTCCAGCACCCTCAGCAGCTCCAGCACCCGTAGCAGCTCCCGTACCTCCAGCAGCTTCAACACCCTCAGCAGCTCCAGTACCCTCAGCAGCACCCCCGAAACCGCCACCTCCAAGCCCAGGGTCTCCAGCCTCCGTGTCTCCAGCAGCAGCATCCCCAGACTCAGCAGCACCTCCAGCCCCAGCAGCTCCAGTACCTCCAGTACGAGCACCTCCGGGACCAGCACCACTCCCAGCTCCAGTGACGTCAGCAGAAGTACCTCTAGCGGCAGAGCCTCGAGCTCCAGAAGCGCGACCCTGACGGCGACCGTACCAGTCGTGCAGCTGCTGTGAGGTGAGAGGCACACGCGGACGAAGGCGGCTACCCCAAGGAGACTGCGCAGCAGCAAACTCAGAAACCTCAGGCGTCACACCCCCAGACTCAGTACCCCCAGGCTCCTCACACTCAGGCTCAGCACCTCCAGACATAGCACCCCCAGGCTCAGGACCTCCAAGCTCCTCACGCTCAGGCTCAGCGCCCCCATACTCCGCGCCCCCTGGCTCAGCACCTCCTGGGTCCTCACGCGCAGGCGCCGCACCCCTAGGCTCAGCACCCCCAAGCTCCGCACCCCCAGGCTCAGCACCAAGGTAGTCGTGAGCAGCAGGAAACTTGGCGCGCCAGGCGTCGCTAAGCCGAGAAAAGCAGCGCTGCTCAGTGTGATAACCTGTGCACTGGTGACCAGTGCGGGGACCTGTGCGAATGATATAGGGGCAGCGACCAGGACCCCCAGAAGCCCCACGCCCGGCATACCAGTTAAGAAGCTGCTGGGAAGTGGGGGTCTGGCGCTTACGCTGCTGCTACTGCTGCGGCTGCTGCTGGCCCTGACCACCACTACCACCACCGCTCCCTCCTCCCCCACCGCTGCTGCTACCCCCTCCACCGCTCCCAGTGCCTCCGCCGCCCCCACCACCACCTCCACCGCCTCCACCCCCACGACCACCCCCACCACCTCGACCTCCCCCGCCGCCTGCACCACTGCCACCTCCACCGCTAGGAGGTCAAAAGGCAGCACCCCGGGGAGGGGTTGGTCTCCACCTCCTGGGGGTCTATTCCCTGCTGTGCCAGCCACTTCACTGCCTCCCACTTGCCCTGCCTCGCTGCGTCGTGCAATGGGGTCCCTGTGGGAGTGGCACACGGGGGGAGCGCAACGGGGGGAGCGGGCAGAGCGACAGTGGGAGGAAGGAATGAATGATGGGGAGAAGGTGGGTGGGAGGGAATAATAGGCAAGAAGCAGCTGCACTGTGCACAATATTGCGGAGAGGAAGACGGTAGAGGGCAACAGCAGATGCTTCTCTGTACACTCACAGCATTTGTTAGTGCAAGCACGGTTGTCAGCACCATAACGTTGCAACAGTTTCATGCACGCCACATGCCCGCCCCACGCACCTCGGTGCATGGGTGTGCTGCGGTTGTTGCAGCGCACGCTAACAAGCATGCCCAGCCCCAATAGCACCTGCACCTGCAGTGGCATATGAAAGGGAGAGAGGGGGAGGGCGGTGGAGAGGGAGAGTGATTGCAGTGGCAACCACAGCTGGCGATGTGTGGTGGTGTGGGTGGCCTGGGGTTTGCAAAGTGAATGGAAGGTGGGCGAGTAATAAAGGTTGCAGCAATGTGATGCTCGCAGAGTGATGCTCGCAAACGCATCATGCGTTAACACATGCGTCATAGAGGTGCGATGCAGGCAAGGGCACGCAGGTCGGCGCATGCAAGAAGAAAGGGAGCACATGGGCAGGGCATAGGAGCAGAGGACGGTGCGAGGAAGCATGAAAAAGGGTTGTGAAACGCATAGCGAAATGGAGAGGACGAGGGAGGGAAAGGCAGACAAAAGACAGGTGAAAAGAGAGGAGGAAGGAAGAGGAAGGATAAGTCAAGAGAGGCAAAGAGAACCCACCACAAATATATCCCCATCGCGAGCAGCAACATGCACCGCAGTCCTTCCATACTCGTCAACAACAGTGTCTAGCTGCTTTGCATCAGCATCAACTCCCCATGTCTTCAGCATGCAATTCAGCTCCTTCACATATTCATCTGACAGACCATGCACATCTGTATCAGCCAATTCTTGCACACTTGCATTCAACAGACCCTCTTTTGCCGCATTTGTTGACGCTCGCTGGGACACGAACGATATGATGTCCCTGATAAGCGAATAGGAGGTGAGACGTGAGGGCAGGAGGCGAGGCGAGGCGCGAATAGGAGTGATGTCAAGTGCAACAAGTGCAGGAGTGGGAGACAGAGGGACGACAGCATAACTGGAGGGAGAAGGTGGAGTGGAAGGGGCAAGAGCGGGTGCAGTGGCAAGGGCAGCAGGAGGGCGGTGGGGTGACGGCAGCTTTGAGTCGGGGACGTAGACGAGGGTGAGTGGCCGAAGGCGACTCGATGGTGATGGTGCTTGCGGCAGTGTGGATCGGCGGCACAGTGGAAGGGGCTTGCAGAGGTAAAACTCCCACGCACTGAGGACGGGCAGCTGACAGGCCGAGCGATGCATGGCGAGCGATGCATGGCGTGGGATGCATGGCGCGGGATGGAGAGGGACACACAAGAGGGGTGGACAAGTCAGAGGACGGGTTATCAAGAAAAGGATATTGAAGGTGGCGAAATGGCAAGGGACAAGGAGGGCGAAGAAGACAGGAACGGTGAGACAAGAGACGAGATGAGGGAGACGGGATAGAATACAGTGGCGGCAACGAGGGAGGGAGGGGAGGGAGGGCAGAGCGAGGAGTGCACATTGGTGCCTTCAAACTTGGTTTGCGTGGAGTGGTAGTCGAGAAGGGTGGCACAGGAGCCATGCCGCAGGCTGGCAGTGGCGCTGGCAGAGAGCCACGGCAGCAGGTGGGGCAGCACATTCACCCTCGCGCTCTGTGCCCCGAGGCTCTTCACCACACCTAAGCTCTCCCAGTCCGGGGAGGAGGGGGCTCGCTCGTTACTGCGCTCCATGAGAAAGAATGTTCTTGCCAGCATCGAGTGGGGCCGGTGGTGCGCATGGGACGGAGGGGATGGGGGGAAGGGGACGGGGGGGAAACGGGCGGGTGGAAAGGGGATAGGAGGGGAGGGGATATGGGGATGAGCATGGGGAATGGGCAGGGGGTGGCACGAGCGTATGGAGGCGAGGGATTGGCATAGCTGCTGCTGAGCAACAGCTGCGCTGAGCTCACGTTGGCATGGCGCAGCCGAAACAACAGCCAGCCTTACCATGTCTCACCCACTCACCTGCATCACCCACCCACCTCACACACGCTCACTCACCCCCAACAATCCCGTGCACCTGCTGCATGCCTGTGCGCCTGCCCAACCCTGTTCATCCACGCCCCGCTCACCCACACTCTCCTCGCCCCTTCCCCCCCATCCCCCCTCCTCGCTCACCCACCCGCTGGCTCACCGCGCATCTCAAGAGTCTCTGCGGCGGGCGGCAGGGTGCGGAGGACGCGGAAGCCGAACGCCCTTTGCGGCCTGTGCGCGTCCGAGTCGGGCCAGAAGCACATGGCGTTGGCGGCGAACAGAGTCGACACGATGGCATCGAGCCGCTGCTGCTCCTTTTTCGCCTCGCGAATGTCGCGCGAGAGGCGAGCGAAAAGATCGTCGACGCCATCTTCGCCGGCTGCTGATGATGCCGCTATTGGTGCTTCATGGGACTCGTTTTTATGTGCCTCAAAACTGTGATTATGCGCTGTTGTGTTGTCAACACCAAGACTCGCGAATTCGCAATGCAGGTCGGCCATCGGCGAGCATCCACCGCCGTCTTTGTGCCGCAACAATGTCGCAAACGGATCGAGAGACCAGATCCTCGGACTCGCCGCAATTCTCGACGGCGAAACGCACTGCTGCTATTCTTCGTCGGACGCCACTCGCTGGCTGAATGGAAGTAAATGGCTGCAACGCGCCGACGGTGGGGCTCGTCTGAATTGCTCGAGAGAACGAGGTAACAGTGTGTTATGCTGGTCGCTCCTGGGCGCCACGCGACCATCGGCTGGCGTGTATGGCCGGTCACCACTTCCCGCTGCGCTGAACGGTCCACCGCGTCACAAAGGGACGCACGGTCCCGCTGCAGTTTCGAGCCTTGACCAGCTTATGCCGCTGCTATGCAAGGATGCGCACCAATCTCATGCTCAGGCTGAAGCCATGAGGCATCTTCGCAACACAAGCCCCATTCGCCAGGATCCCTGGTGCTTGGAGCTTGTGCTAGGGCGTGGGAGTTAAGATGCCCTACCCACATAGGGGTTGTGATGCGACACACGATAAGCGACTTTCGTCCAGTTTGTTACGCGGTGAAGGCCCCGAGATTGGCTGGTTTCGCTAAACAAACAAAATGCTCGGATGAGGGCTTGCTGGTCGCCTGCACGAACTGAAACGCCTGGATTGTAACACTATTTGCAAGGTCAGTCTTCTCTCATGGACATCCCTCAAGTGTGCATAAAGCCGACGACACACCAGTCACGATTATCGCAAGCTTCGCACAGCGTCTTGTCAGAGGTCCACTGGTGATCCCCGATTGATCCTAGGGAAGGGTTACAAGCACGGTTGCCTGGGGGGTTATGGGCGCACCGACCCGCTACTTAAACAAGCCCTTTTATCCGAGTGGTCTAGTGGCTGGGATTCTGAGACGTCCTACTACTGTTCATCAGCTGAGTGATGAGGTCTAGGGGGGCTGCCTGCGACAACGCCCAACACCCAGGCGAGTTCATTCTCCTCGCCAAACTCCGATTGAATAATATCAAGCGGATTCAAGGCAAAAAGCCAACGCTGATGTCCAAACTTCATCAGACTCAAGTCCTCACACAGCACTGTTTATGAGCTGTAAGCTAACGCCATCCACGTAAGACAGCCTCTACATTCTCCTCTTTTTGCCACCTGTTATCACTTATTTACCGTAAACCGCAACAATGTGTGAACAATGTCTCAAGTTGGAATAGATCTATCGTTGCGAACCCGGGTCTCGCGTCGCCGTAGATTCAAGTTGCGAGCGTCGATTAATCGGCTGCCGAACGACCTTATTATCAAACTTATATGCTATAGTCTGTGTTGGCTGTAGTGGGGTAGACCATATGGGGTACAACATTTCTAGGTTTTCCTACTTGTACCCACCTCTTTCCTAGTTCATTCATTCCATTCTTCACATGGTATAGAGCAGGTTCCCTCGTGGGAACGCTTCTCAGGGCCTACCACTGAACTCGATCTTTTCTTCCTGCCCGAGGCGCGCCCCGTAGGCCGCCCTCACGTCGCGCCCTCCTAGAGGACCCTCGCGCCACCCTTAGCGGCCCCGTCGCCACACCTTACGGCCCCGTTGCCGTCCTTTGCGGCCCCGTCGCCGCCCCTCTAGGCCCCGTTGCCGCCCCTGTAGGCCACTTGCGGCCCCATCGCGGCCCCGTCGCCGCTCCTCTAGGCCCCGTCGCCACCCCTCTAGGCCCCTCGCGGCCCCTTCACGGCCCCGTCGCCGCCCCTATCGGCCCCGTCGCCGCCTCTCTACGCCCTTCGCGGCCCCTTCACGGCCCCGTCGCCACCCCTAACGGCCCCGTCGCCGCCCCTATCGGCCCCGTCGCCGCACCTCGCGGCCACGTCACCGCCCTTCGCGGCCCCGTCGCCGCCCCTAGCGGCCCCGTCGCCGCTCTTCGCGACCCCGTCGCCGCCTCTAGCGGCCCCGTTGCCGCCCTTCGCGGCCCCGTCACCACCTCTACCGGCCCCGTCGCCGCCCTTCGCGACCCCATCGCCGCCTCTCTCGGCCCCGTCGCTGCCTCTACCGGCCCCTTCACCGCTGAGCCGCCCAGCAACTGAGCAGCCGAGCCACCACGCCGCCAAGCCGCCCAGCAGCCGAGCCGCCCAGCAGCCAAGCCGCCCAACAACCGAGCCGCCCAGCAGTCGAGCCGTCAAGCCGCCCAGGTGCCGAGCCGCCGAGCCGCCCAGCAACTGAGCCGCCGAGCCGCCCAGCAGCCGAGCCGCCGAGCCGCCCTGCCGTCGAGCCGCTACTGTTCCTACCGGTGCGCCCCGGCCCTACTTACTCGGACTGGTGAGATCACTCCCTGCTAGACCAATGCTGTCATGGCTACCCCCAGTGTCCTTACCTTTGATGCTGAGGGTTGTGCTGTTGACTTTGAGGTCTGGGTCGATGACCTCCAGCTGTTCCTACACTGCGATAGGGCAGACGGACTCTCTCTGTTCGATCTCACCTCTGGTGCCTCTCCTACCCCGCCGGCTATTGCTGACAGCACTATTCGCTCACAATGGGCCACACGCGATGCTGCTGCCCGTCTTGCTGTGCGTTGCCACCTACCGACCACTGAGCGTGCACAATTTAGTCAGTACAAGAGTGCTCAGACCTTGTACGACGCTGTAGTTGCACGCTACTCTTCCCCTGCCACTGCTGCTCTTAGCCGCCTCATGCTACCGTACCTGTTCCCTGACCTTGCTGCCTTTCCCACCGTAGCTGACCTCATTACGCACCTTCGCAGTAGTGACACTCGCTACCGCGCTGCGCTTCCTACTGAGTTTTGTGCCAAGACCCCCCCCCTGCCCATGTACATCACCCTCTACTACATAGTCACCCGGCTCCCTGACTCCCTTTGCTTAGTCAGGGACCACTTCCTCTCAGTTTGCCCCACCACACTCACTGTTGACCTCCTCGAGGAGCGCCTCCTAGCAGCAAAGAAGAGCATAGTCGCTGTAGGAGCCTCTCGTGGTGACCCTCGCACCCCCGTCTTTGAGGGGTGTTCCCCCTCCCCTCTCTTGCCCTCTGTTGCTTCTGCTGCGGCCGACCTCGTTGGCTTCGAGTCGGTCGGCGCTGCGTCTGCCCCTAGCGGGAGACGCCGCACCGGCAAGGGCAAGGGGGCAAGAGTGCTAGAGGGGCTGGCGGGGGCGGTGGAGCTGGTGGTGGAGGCAGTGGAGGGGGTGGGGGTGGTGGTGGGAGTGGTGGCGGGGGTGGAGATGTTGGGGGCAGCAGGTGAGGCGGAGGAGGCAGCGGCGGTGGCGGAGGGAGCGGAGACGGCGGAGGTGGCAGAGGTGGCAGAGGCGGCGGTGGAGCTGGTCGCGGCACTGCGCAGAGGAGTGGTACCGGTGGTGGTCCGCGCCAGCAGCAGCAACGCAGTCGTGAGACCCCGTCCCCCCAGCAGCTTCGTGAGTGGTACGCGGGGCGTCAGCGAGGTGGGGGTACTGGTCCTTGCACCTACGTCCTTCGTACCGGCGACCGCGCTAGTGAGCAGTGCGGGGGCCCGCACTCCACCCAGCGCTGCTTCGGCCGCCGGACAGACGCGTGGCGTCACCAGTTCCTTGACGCCAGTAAGATCCCTCGCTGGGGAGAGCTGTCTAGGGCGGGGGTTGCTATCTTTGATCTTGATTATGATGCTATTCTTGCCGCCATGTATGTTGTGTCTACTAGTGATGAGGGTGACTATTACCTGTGTGTTCCGCATGACCCGTGCATTGAGGCTGCTGCTCTAGGTGCTGGTGAGGCTGCTGCTCTAGGTGCCAGTGCGTCTGCTGCCCCAGGTGCTGGTGAGTCTGCTCTCTCAGGTACCACGTCGGCTCAGGCCTTACACACCTTCACCCTTGACTCGAGTTCTTCCCGCTCCTTCTTTCAAGACCGCACCACGCTTACGCCGCTTAGTCGGCCGGTTGCGGTCTCCCTGGCGGACCCCTCTGGGGGTCCTGTCCTTACCAGCTTCTCCACTGTCTTACCGTGTCCGGCAGCCCCCTCTGGCACCCTGTCAGGTCTCTATCTCCCCTCGTTCTCTACGAACTTGGTGAGTGGAGCTGATCTACAGGATTGGGGGGTTGACCAGTTCACTCCTGCGAGTCAGCGGGTGACCCACTGCACATGTGCTCGGACGGGCCGACACTTGGCCACGTTTACCCGTCTGCCCGGGTCGAGCCTGTACACACTGACTACTGAGTCTCCTCCGGTTGCCGAGTCTGGTCAGGTAGCTGCGTCGAGTCAGGTGTTTGCTGTAGGGTCCAGTTCTGGTCCAAAGTCTTCTCCCTGCTCGTGTCGTCTCCTGTCCCACCAGAATCTCCTTTGGCACCACCGCCTTGGTCACCCCTCCCTGCCTTGTTTCCGAGGCATGGCCTCCCGTGTCCTTGTCTCTGGTCTCAACTGGTCCCTCCCTCCCCTACCTCCGGGGCCTTCCCCTACCTGCGTTCCCTGCGTCGAGGGACGGCAGCGCGCCGCCCCCCACTCCTCCGAGTTTCCTCCGACAGAGGCTCCGCTGCAAACTCTTCACGTGGACGTGTGGGGCCCCGCCCGCGTCCGTGGCCAGGGTCACGAGCGTTACTTCCTGTTGGTGGTTGACGACTACTCGCGTTACACCACGGTGTTCCCCTTGCGTAGCAAGGGTGACGTCACTGAGGTGTTGATCGAATGGATCCGCGCGGCTCGTCTCCAGCTTAGAGAGAGTTTCGGCTCGGACATTCCTCTCGTGAGTCTGCACTCTGATAGAGGCGGGGAGTTTTCCTCTGCGCATCTGGGAGCCTTCTCTCGTGCACAGGGCATCCACCAGACCTTCACGCTTTCGCCGTCTCAACAACAAAATGGGATTGCTGAGCGCCGCATTGGCATGGTCATGGATGTTGCTCGTAGGTCCATGATTCCTGAGGCTGCCCCCCATTTTCTCTGGCCGTTTGCGGTTTAGTATGCACGGCATCAGCTCAACCTACAGCCTCGGGTCTCCTTGCCAGAGACCTCCCCCACCTTGCAGTGGACGGGGAAGGTTGGCGATGCGTCTGCGTTTCGGGT